TGTCGTCCCTTAGTTTTGGAAGTTTCTTCTCAATTCACGCTCCCTGCACCCACCACCCTTTTGAGGCTTCAATGCCACCTCCTCAAGAGGCTGACCTGATCCCCAGTCTCAAAACTTGGTCTCCGTGTTGTGCTCCGGCTGCACCCTGTGCTTACTCTTCATTACATGTCAGTTTGTTTCTAACTAAGAATTTGATGATTTAATTGGTGATTCCTTCCCACCCCTAGCGTAGCTCATTTTTATGAAGTGCTTGCCATGGGCCAAGTTCTGCACTAAAGGCTCTACGAGATGATCTCCTAACCATACTTACTATGTGCTAAGTACTGTTATTACCCCTGCTTCATAGTAAACTGGGACAAAGAGAAGGAATCACTTGGTGAGAAGCAAAGTTGGGGTTCTAACTCAAGTGCTCTGACCTCAGAGCCCCTGCCCTTAATGAACCACTACCCTACACATATTCGGGACTAGGGAGCACTGTGTGTGCTTGGCTGTTAGTAGGTGCTGAATAAATGTTGGCTGAAAGAAGAGATTTCTTAGACCACATCATCATTTGAAATTGATCCATCACTGAGAGTTTATATTTAGTATGCCCCTTCTCCAGCCATAACCTCTAACCTAGGGTGGGTTAGAATCAGTGACGCCTGTTGCTCAGGCCCGCAGGCTTTGCCCTACCCCTTGCATGCAACATGCTGTTTTTGAGCCCCTACCAGCAGGAGAGAAGGGCCAAGCCCATCCTCCACTCAGTGGTGCTCTAGATTCCCTCTCCTTCCTGGAGCAGCTAGTCTGGCAATCCCTCATCACTCTCCTCATTTTGAAGAAATGCTTTGCACTATGTGGCAAGTGGAAGTTACTCTTCCTCTCCAAGCCTTAGTTTCTTCATTTATCAAACATAGGTACTCTGGAATTTTAGCAATGAGGTAGCATGTGTGAAGCTCTTAGCGTAGTGCCTGGCGCATAGTCAGGACTCAATAAATGTCAGTTTTTACTCTTCAGCTCCCAGGTTACAGAACTTTCTAGAGAATCTCAAAGTATCCCCTCAAACCTAAACATTAATCTTTAATGGGGATCTCAGTGCAAGCCAGCAATCCTTTCTCCATCTCCTGTTGGCATAGATAACGTAGAAATTTATCATAGATAATTTACCTTCCTCTATCTGCTTAATTCCTCCCCTTTAGTTTTTAACTGTTTCTAAAATATTTCTACTTTTAGAGTGTCTGAACACAGGTTACATATCCCAGGTAACATCTCTACTCTAAGATCTCTCTATCACTAAACATCTGAATAACCACCAGCCAGGCAGCTGAGATCTCCTGGAGAAAGCACTGGAAGCAGAATCCCCATTCAGCCACTTACTGGGTAAATCTCTTAATCTGATGGATTCCTCACCTTAAATGCGGACAGCAATTCCTCCTCACGGGGTGTTGTAAAGATGAGACGAGGTGGGTATTTTTGAAAACAGCTCAATAATTATACATCTGTTTTTGTTTGTTCATTCATTCCCAGCTGGTAGCTCTAGTGACCAAAAGAGTCCAAGCTCCAGAACGTAGAGGCATAGAAGGGGAGAATGTAGATTAAGTCCTGCACCTCATAAATGAAGCTAACTAGTCACCGAAAAAACGAAGCTGGGATTTATGATCTAAGTCATCCATTTATACTCTTCTTAGGCATAAAATCCAGTATCCTAAAGGTGACACAGGCAGTAATCTTAGACAACTTAACTTGGCATGAAATGATGATGCAATGGCACGAGTTTTTGGAAAGCAGTAATAATTTAGGGGAAAAATTAGTTTAAGAATCAGAACTGTGTCAGGAAGAGGATCCCCTTATTAGTTAATGTAAATGGAAACACTGATTCTTAGAGCCAAAGGTAGAGAGAATTTAATCCAACTCCCATGAGGCTAAGTGATTTACCCACAGTTACCAGCTTTTGACCGATTTAATAGGTGTGTTGCTCTAGAGAAATAAACTATTCCAACTTATCAAAGTTTGAAGACAAGGGAATAAAATACAAAGTACATTATTGGCAACAAGAAGGCAAGATGATTCTTATTTATAGATGACACAGTTGTATACTGGGAAAACCAATCAACTGAAACTTCATTAAAAGAAAAGTTTAGATGCTGGCTGGATTAAAAACAATCTGTAACAATAGTTTTCTTACATACAGTCATTTAGAAGTCATAATGCAAGATTATATTGCCATTAGCAACACAGAATATCAAGGACTAAATGTAAGAAATGCCATACACCTATAGGAAGCATAAAACTCTAATGAGGGATATAAGACTTGAATAAAGAAATACTATATTCAATACTCCATTCTTGCAGAACATCAAATTTGGAAAGTGCTAGTTATTCCTAAACATTGTACAAAGTCAATGCAGGTTAATAAAAATCCCAAAAGGACCTCCAAATTTGGGGGAAAACTTGGGAAAAATTTCTACCGCTCACCTGAAAGAACAATCATTTGTGAGAAACACGGGCAGTGAACACTGACCCAAAGTATTAAGGAGGGGCTCACAAGGTAAAACGACCCCAGTAGAAAGCTGTAAGAATTAAAACAGTGTGGTATGGATACAAAACAATGAACAGTCCCAGGAATACTGAGGATCAGCATATGACAAATCTGACATCTGAAGTCAGCACAGAAAAGTTGGATGTTTTAATTAGTGTTGGGACAACTGAGTAATTTATAAGGGGAAAATAGATGATGAGTTGAATTATGTGTCCTAAAAAGATATGTTAAGTCATAACCCTTCGTAATTATGATCTTAGGTGGAAATAACCTATTTGCAGGTCTAATCAAATTAAAATGAGGTTTTACTGGATTAGAGTGGGCCGTAATCCAATGGCTAGTGTTTTTATAGAGAGAGACTTGGACACAGAGACACATAGGGAAGAATGTGACAAGAGAGGCAGAGATTAGAACAATGCATCTACAAGTCAAGGAACGCCAAGTGTTGCCAGCAACCCCCAGAAGCTGGTAAGAGGCAAGAAAGGACCTTTCCAGGGAGCTGTCAGACAGAACTTGGCCCGGTTTCCAAAATGTGAGGGAATAAACTGTTGTTCTAAGCCACCCAAGTTTGTGGTAATTATTATGGCAGCCCTAGAAACCAAGATAATGAAGCTGAATCCCTATCTCATGCCTTATATGAAAAAAAAAGAAACTACATGGATAAAAGAATTAAAAGTAGAAATGAAACAATGACTTCCAAATAGTAGAAGAGAACATGGGTGAAAATTTTTATCTTCTTGGGAAAGGGAGTTTTCTTAAGAATGAAAGGAAAAATGAATTTGACTTTATAAACACTTTAAACATCTATGTAGTAAGACTTGGGTGAAAGGCAAGAAATTATAAAATAAATGTGTAACTCATGGCAGACAAAGGATACAGTCAATAAAAAAGACGTACACAGCCCAGAAAGAAATGGACAAAGGACAACTTTAGTCGTCACAGAAGTATAAACACCTAATATATAAAATATGCCCAACTTTACTAATTATGAAAGAAATGCAAATGAAGGCATTAAAGTATTTTTTCTATAAAGACTGGGAGCAATGAAAAAGATCATCAGAATTAGCTAGGGTAAAAAGAACAGGTACTCTGTTTACATTTGGTGGTAATACCTGTTACCTTCCTTACGAAGAGTGGTAACTATCACCTTATCCTTGGCTATATCCATTATTTTCACATTTTTGCTTTTTCCCATTCTAATGTCTACATTTTTCATTTGCCTTAAAATTCTACTTTTTATAATTTTCCTACAATAGAGATTAGATTCTGTAAAGGGTATGGATTTTTATGGGATGTTATGTGTACTCCTATATCAGCTTAAAAAGCAATTCATAAGACATTGTCCCCCAAATGAGTATACTAGTACCTTTTTCCCACTAATAAACCAGCAACGCGTTTCCATTTGCACTTTTAAATGAGGAGAAATATTTTTTCCATGGCTTAATTTACTCACGTAATTTGTATTTAACATTTTTGTTTAGTCAGTTAATTCACTTGAGTCTTAAAATTCCTATCCTCTTAGTAATTCCCAAGAACTTTTCTGTGGTATATAAACGCTTGGTTTGCCTCTGGTTGGCGATTCTCTCTTCACGCCACATGCTACTTGGCTCTTCCTCACCCACTCCTGTGGTTTTGACCACCATCTTTATGCTAGAGACTCCCCACTCTACACCCTCTACAGCTAAATCTCTGCTTTTCCCCCCAAACAGCTTGGGACACACAGCTTGTGTGTTCTGCACACTGATTGCTAAATATTAAGATACAGATATAAAAGGACCATTTTTAAAGACTAGGCTATTTTTAGGACTATTTTAAAGATTAGAGATGAATAATTAGAAAATGATTCTATAACATTAATGGATGGAAACAAGCAAATGAATAAAAAATATTCTAGTTAACCCTGAATAAATGAATACAAAAATGAACTTTGAAGTTACTTTACTATAAAAAAATCCTTAAATGCAATGTTCCATAAAAAATATATACATGTTTTTATTTACACACTCTATTAACACTACTGATTTCAATTCAATTTGAAGTACAATTTTGAAAAGCATTCATGTTTTTTCTGAAAGTATTAGAAAAGACTATATACATAAACTTCCAAAAACAAATACCATGCTGAGGCACAGAAAGGAAAAAATCCATTTTATCTCTCGAAGTGGTTACAAAAGACCCTGGGCATAACACCTACCATTATAGGAAGCAGGGTTATTAGAGACCGTTCACTGTTACTGTTCACAAATCTAGATGGAAAGGTTCACATGTGACAGTGGTTTTTGTTTTTTTTTTAAAGACTCTGCAGTTTTCTGACCAAAAGTGACAGTGTCTAACAGGCTCTTTACACTTTTATCTAAACCATGACACTCCACTTGATTAATATCAAGAAGACACAATTTCTGAAATCATGATCTTTTCATGAAATCAAAGCAGAAAAACTGTTCAGGAAAAGCAGATCCTTCCAAGTTGGTGACCTTGGTTGATCTTATGAAAACTCTTTGGAATCTGCTGTAGGTCTATAACCAATCAAGGACTCTTTACCACCTTCATCTACAAGCAGATCCACTAACACGTGGGGTTTGTCATAACCAAAGGAGGTGGTAGTGTTTCTCAGCGTTATGGACTCTCGTCCTTCTGTCTTTATTTCAGTTTTATTACTTGGGGGAAATTCTGAGACAGAGCAGTTGTCCGATACCTCAAGGCCACTATCAGAACCATTTCTGGTGTGATACACATTTAAAGTGATGCTGCAGGTTTCAGACTGGTTACTGCTTGCATGGATAGAATTTTCTCCCTTGACTGGGGTCAGAGAGCTACCAGGGGCCAAGTCAGAAATATTTTCTTCAGTCATCACCACTTCTGTTTCACTAGAAAGATCTTCTCCGCGTTCTGCTTTTCCTGGACTGTCCTCAGTATGCACGCTTGAAATTGTCCCTGGAGAGAGCTGCTCATTTTCTATGGCAATTGGTTGGTAGGTGATGGGCGATATATATTTTGATTCCGATTTTGTCTCTGAAGAGGCACTTTTTACCACAGACAGCTAGGGGAAGAGAAATCAGTGATTAAAAATAATAAATTATTAAACTTAAGTGCTCATCCTCAAAAGAAAAATGGTCTAATGGTAATGGTTAACTAAATATACAACTGAATGGCATATGTAGGATAACAGTATAATAGAATCTGATAGTTGCCTTTTCTTTCTTTTTAATGGAAATATATTAAGATTAAAAACAATATTTTAGAATTTTTAGAAAGTCACTATCTCACCAACCTATGTTGCTTTTTGCGTACTACCTTCGACACGTATGCATGTTACATTTGTAATGGGAGTACAGCTACTTATTTTACGTAGTATTTCATCATTTGTCTTCATACTTCTAATCTTCATGGGCTCAGTAGTTTTACACTGATGGTTAAATAATTTCTCTAATACTAAGTATTAAGGTGTCCCAATTTTCACCATTTATAGAACATGCTGAAGTGAATATTTCTATACATCTTTTTATTTATGAAATTATCTTTTAAGAATTAATTCTTAAGAGAGGAATTACTAAATGTAAGAGTGTGGCATGTTTAGGATGCTACTCCTCTGTACACCCACTGTATGCTTACCTTCCCCTCAGGGCTATAATTACTTTTTGCCAGAGTAGACCAGTTTTATTACAAGGTACTAATGGATATTCAGGTTTATTTTTCCTTCTCTAGTGGGTGTAAAATAGCATACTGCAAGGTTGGTTTGTGCTTAACTACTAGTAGTAAGAATATTATAATTCATAGGTGAATTGTCTATTAACTGTTGATAGTTTTTAACCCCTCTACCTCAAGATAATGTTTCCATAACAAATTTAAATATGCCCTTTGCATATCACAGATATTTTGCCTGTCATATTTGATTTAAACAGTTATCATTCTGATACTTTTAAATGTTCTTTTCATCAGACAAAGACTTTTAAATGTTAGGCATTAAAATGTCACACTTCTCATTTAGAATCACTGTTGGGTCATCTTTCCTTCTACCCTCTAACCACCATGAAGAGTTTCTGTATTTGCAGATTTTCAAAAGCCACGCTTTCATGACACTGGGCCTTAGCACACACTGTCCCTTAGTACCTGGGTAAACTCCTATCTGTCCCTCAAGACTGTTCAGGCATCACTGTCTCTGGAAAAGCCATGACTAACCCTACCCTGCAAAAGTAGAAAAGAAGTCCTCACTGGCATGTATATAAACGTCTATCTTTGAACCTATCACACTGGACAACCACTGAATACTTATCTTTTTTCCCACTAGACTTTAAGCTCCTTAGCACTGTCTCACTGTGCCTTTGCCCCATGCATAAAAAAGCATAGTGCATAGTAAAAAATATGTGGCTTTGGATGTGTGGAAGACTGAGTTATTTATGATAGGTGACATGCTGCTGAACATCATTCTACTTTAAAAAACAAATTTTAAGAATTATCGAAAATTTCAAATTAACATTTTAGTGTACATTTGACCCTTGAGCAATACAAGGGTTAAGGGCACTGAGCGCCTCTGGAGTCAAAAAATCCACATATGACTTTTGACTCTCCAAAAACTTAACTACTAGTAGCCTGCTGTTGGCCAGAAGCCTTACCAATAACATAAATGGTCAATTCACACATATTCTGCATATTATATTTATATCTACATCTATTTCATACATTCATAACATACCTAACTTTTTCTTAATTTTTTTCTGTATTTCTGGACTATGTGGTTTGTCTGAGAGTTTTTTCAAATTCTCACAAATCTCAAAAAATCTCCAGCATATTCATTGAAAAAAATTCAAGTATAAGTGGACCCACACAGTTCAAATCTGTGTTGTTCAAGGGCCAACTGTATACAATTAAAGAAAAAAAAATTTAAATATATTACCAAGGATTTGGGTAACATGATGTTTTCTCTCTTAAATGGATTCATCTTCTTAACGAGACAACATACAACTACCAGGGCAAGTACTAGAAAGAGTAGTAAAGCAGCAACAATTGGAATCCAAACAGGATCTAAGAAAAGGGAAAAATCACAAATTGGAATTACAATGGAACACTGCTATATCCATCAAATAGTTATAAAGTCTTAGTGCTATTCTTTAACAGATTTACATATCAGGTAATTAATATGGTCACAGTTTTAAAGAACACTGACACAGAAGTCAGGAGAGATGAGTAAAAAATTACGTACCTGTCCTAGATATCAACATGATTCTTCCCAGCTTTGAGATTCTAAACTTTCTGCGACTACACTATCATGATATGATGTGGCTAAAATAACTTTTTCATAACAATTTCCTTACAGCCCCAAATACAGAGTGTTTCTAGAGTTACGCTTTTCTCTCAGTTGAAGAGGCAAAAGAAAAAAATTTTAAATATATCTCTTTAGAAATAAATTCTGGCAATGTCTCTAACTCTTAAAATAATGTCGTCCCACCCTTCTGAATTCTTAAATTGTTATTTATTTAAAGATTACAAAAACTTATAAAAATACACAGGTGTACACACACACACACACACACACACACACACACACACAGGAAAGCTGAACAGGAATAAAGGCCCCCGAATGAAAACCAGATACAACGAATAATATAAAATTGGGAAGATCTGTTTCAGAGCACAGACATCTATAATCACGGTTGTATATTTTTCTCTAATGCTGCTTTTTTTTTTTTTTTTTTGCGGTATGCAGGCCTCTCACTGTTGTGGCCTCTCCCATTGCGGAGCACAGGCTCCGGACGCGCAGGCTCAGCGGCCATGGCCCACGGGCCCAGCTGCTCTGCGGCATGTGGGATCTTCCCGGACCGGGGCACGAACCTGTGTCCCCTGCATCGGCAGGCGGACTCTCAACCACTGCGCCACCTGGGAAGCCCTCTAATGCTGCTTTTTATTTTCACAGCACAATCTTCAATATTTTTTTTCCCATAGTCCTCTCTTCCAAATTAACAGTACTCGGGACTTCCCTGGCGGCCCAGTGGTTAAGACTCTGCACTTCCACTGCAGAGGGGTGAGGCACGGGTTCGATCCCTAGTCGGGGAACTAAGATCCCATATGCCGTGTGGTACAGCCAAAAAAAACCCAAACAAATCCAAAAACAAACAAACAAACAAAACAAACAAATTAACAGTACTCTACATATTGTGGTGGTGTTTGCCCTCCTTCATAAGCATTTTATTACCTTTAATTTCTATTCTAATAATGACTCTGGAAGTTACTCAAATAAATGCCTCTATCACACCTGTTACAGGAGGTGAAAAAAATTACTACAATAGGAAAACATAAAATAACCCCATAAGAAACACTGGCACATTGCTTAGAAGCACTGAGCAGGCAGGTAGGGAATGCTGCTTATGAGCCACGATGGTGCCATCATGTGGACACAATACCAGCCCAGTTTGTAACTCAGGATTTTTTTTTTAAATAAATCTTGGGCATTTGCATTATTTCAAATTTTATGCATTAATTAGGATTTTCTTACTCCAAATAGTATAACACAAACTGGTATTAAATGCACTGCATTATTTTAAGTCACCTATTTGAAACCCTCATATAATGGTCTAAAAGTTTTTAGTATTAATTTTAGGTGTTTGGTCTGATTCTTCAGCCTAGATTTCCATTCTTCAAAAAGAAATTTGTACTGTGTTATTTTTTGTACACTTTTTTAACCTAGAAAATATGTTCTAAAAACATATGAACAATCAAAACAATTATATATAAACCCAAAGACAATCACCAAGCATGATTTATCATAGAGAAAAATCTACAAGTAATCAAAAGTCCAAAAATTGAGGAACATTAAATAAATATGATCTTCATAATAAAATGTTCTAGAGATATTAAAAATAATATTAATAAAGTATGTAAACTAACATGGAAAAATATTTATAGCATATGCTTAGGGCAGTATACAAAGTTACATATACTACATAATATGATCAAGGCTACAGAGCAAAAGAAAAAACAGGATGGAAAAAAACCACCAAACTGTGAGTAACTGAGTGTTTGTAATTTAGAACTACAGATAATTTTGTTTCCTTCTGGCTTTTTATATTTTATAAATTATCTATAATGAACATTTACATTTCATACCATGAAAAAAAAGTCTAAATTTTTGTTAGGTACCTGCCAAATGAGAATGCCAGTTCTGAAGTTCTATCATATGTATCCCCCTCACACACACAGGAAATAATAAGATAAAAATAATGATTTTAAAATGTGTTATAAAATTGACGTACAATCCATCATTTAAACCAATCTATATTTACTTTTGGATGTTAATTTCCAATGCTTGTCCAGTTCACATATCACACAATTTTAGTCAATGAACATTGCGGCTTTTAGTTTTTAAACTTACTGTCCCCATAAAGAACATTTTAATGGATATGTAACATCTTGTTATATCGGAGTAATAAACTAACATATCATTATGCATGATCCTGAAATGCAGGCATTTATGCACATGGTTTTATGTTTTTGTTATATTTTTTCTTTCCTGGGTCAAAAGGTCATCACATGGCTTTCTAAATTGGTTGCTTTGTATCTCTTAATGCCTGAAAAATGGCCTTATTTTTAATTTTGAACTTCTCTGAAGAATGGAACTACTGAGTATTTTTTAAAAGAGCAGAGGTTTACTGAAATTACAAATTGCCTCTTTTTACATTACCCTATTTTAGTGGTCACTCCCTACATTTAGGAAAAAGTGGCAAGAACTTACCTTCTGCGCTGTTATTATCAGAGACGGTAGTACAAAGTTCTTCCGACTTCTCAGTTCTAACAGCCCACGTTTCTGAGACTCCTTCTGCTGAAACACAGTACTCAGAATTCAGCGAGGACACAGGAATACTTAAGAAGCACTGAGTCTCATTACAATCATCTTCTTTCTTTATGTACATTTTATTTGTGGTCTGGAAAGAGGAAAAAAAACAATGAAAATGCATGACTCCTTTTAATTTGAAAAGAAAAAAATCATTCAGTATGATGAATGTTGGGAACATGTCTGAAAATAGTGTTGATATCAAACAATAAGTCAATTTGCTACTTCAACATGGCATGGTGCTATATATCCACTAAAATGTTCTTTATAGAGATAATAAATTTAAAAATTAAAATAGAGATTATGAATTTAAAACTCAAACAGCAGTAACGTTCACTCTTAGTTGCCAAACCAACAAATGTTCATTAGTCCTATTCCTCTAGTGCTAGAAACTTAGCTGGTGAGAGAGAAAAGCATCTATCTCATGGTAAGAATAACACAGGTATTATGCAAAGGCTGTAGGATCTCTTGGCAGTGATACACAGAAGGGATTGAAGCAATCTCTGGGAGTTGATCACTCATTCAACCAGCCACAGTGCATGGATCACTGTGCTAGGGCCTGAGAACACAAAGGTAGGGCAGTGGTGCCTGACCTCAAATAACTTATGATGGAGTGTGGAAGAGAGATAAGAAAGAAATGTAAGAGAGTAACAAGTACTCCAAGGGGACCACTCTATGGAACAAGGAACAACCAGACCATAGAAGAGGAAACAGTCCACCTTGTCAGAAAAGATTTCGAAGGAGAGATGATATGCCAGCTGAATACTGAGTAGAAATTTTCCGAAGTAGGAAAGGTGGAGAAGGGCATTCTGTGAAAGAGCAGTGTACCTCCAGGCAACTAAGAACAGTAAGCAGTTCACCAAAGCACAAACGAAAATGAAGTTGGAAGGAACGGGGAGACAGGTAGCTGGAAATGATGCAAGAGGCCAAATCATGAAGGCCTTGCAGGCCATGCCATGGAAGAGCATTTAGATATTATTTTGTAGCTGATGGGGATTTGTTAAAGAGTTTTAAGCAGTGAAGTAATATGGTCAGATCTGCACTTTAGAACGACAACTCAGCTAGCAACCAGAGTGATGCTTTAAAACCTAAATCAGATGTCATTTTTCTGCTTAAATCTTTCCAGAGGCACAATGTCTCACTGAGAATAAGAGTCAAATCCCTCCAAAGCCCTTAGAGAAGTGGCCCCCAGTGAACTCTCTGACCTCATCTGCCGCCACGCTCTAGCCAGCCTTGCTGCTCCCTTCACATGCCTGGGTGCTATTGCCAGGCTCTGCCTGATACACTCTTCCCACATACATCCACAGAGTTCACCTCCTAACCTCCTCCAGCCCTGGCTCCAGTTAACACTTCCCGGTGAGGCCTGGCCACCCTGCTGAAAATCACTACTGCCCAGCCGCTTCTCTGCTTTGTTGTTCTCCACAGTACTTATCACTGGAGTTTTTTTTGTCTGTACTGTTCACTGCTATCTCCTGGTGCCTAGAAGGCACCAGGCATGTGCTTAACAAATATTGTTAAATAAAGGAATGGCAGTGCTGTGGAGAATGAATGGAACAGAAAAAGTCTAGTCAAGGTGTGGTCTGCACACCAGTGCTAGAATGTAATCATATCACACAGTAGTACTGTTGGTGTTTTCTTTCAAAAACAAAGATTCCAATTAGAGCTTCATATTATTTCATATCACTACAAAACTACCAATGAGGAAGAAAAGATTAAAATTATCCTCATCTTATCAGTGGAGAAATGGAAAAACACAGGTTAATATCCTAGATTAGGACCATGCTGTTAAAAGAGGCGAAGAAAAACTTAAAATGTTTGCACACGGCCAGTGTTAAAGATTAATGCCAGTACTGATTCCTTTCAGCAGCATTCATATATTTCTTTTTTCTTAGTAAAACTTATGATCCATGAGTCTTGCCTGAATATTCATGAACATACCACTTTCATTACACCACATACAGAAACAACTTATGCCAGCAACAGAAAAATTTCCATGTTGAAAAAGATGAAATAGAAACATACCTCACTTCCATTTATTCTCACAAACACGTTGTACGTGAATGTATAACAAGTATTTTCATCATCGTATATGGCTTCTGGTTCTTTTTCATTTACAGTAATTAAAGGGTGAAATATATCAACAATGATTTGGTCTTCCTTCTTTGTGATAACCAGTTTAGGTGGCCCAATTCTCCCTGAGGGGACAAAAAAGAAGTAGAATTGGTCCCAGCCTTGGCACTTCACAGTGTATGACATATCGCCACCAAAACTCAATCAACCTGCTCTTGTTCTTGTCGTTCTAAAGCAGGACCACATTTAAATCATTCCACAGATATCTAGAAGATATCTTAACTGTCCTTAGTGAATCTTGGTAAAAAGCCTTGACATAATAGAAGCTCTATGAAGTTATTTTTCCTTTATCTTTGCTCCTGTAGATTAAAAAACATTAAACAGAAAACAGAAAATGTTCTCTAAAAATCGTTTCAGAAAAGGCATTTTAGTTATCTTTGAATCCTCACTGAAGCTCTTTGTATTTCCAATGCCTATGGATATCTGGAATGAGGCTCTATAGAAGTTTGCTAAGTACATTCAATTTTTATTATGAAAATCAGAACTAGATATTCACTGATTCCACAGATATTTACTATATGTCTTTGACGTCTGGAACCTTGTAGGTGAACCATTTATCTATTCTTCACGTATTTATTGCACACCTACTGTGCTCCAGGCAGGTCTGTCTTTACTCACCAATGTATCCTCAGGAACGAGCATACTTTCTGGCACATAGTATGCCCTTGAAAAATCTGTGTGGGAAAGTCTGACATATAGATGGTATAATTATCAGGTGACAAAAGCATGGACTCTGGGGAATAAAACTACTTTAAGGGCAAGTAGAGGAGGGGCCTGTAGGGGAGAGAAAGCAGGCGCGATGCAAAAAGAAGGGGCAGAACCGAGGTGGGGGCTGAAGCTGAACTAGGATGAAGGCGATTATGGAACTCTAAAATTTTTAATGTATTAAATTGGTATTAAAATTCCCAAAGGCCTTGAGGAGTTAAGGTAGAGGGGAAGACGGAGAGCAGCTCTCACAGTCCTAGTGAACGCGACTAAGGGAGGAGTGACAGAGGACAGAGAAAGGAAGGGGTGCAGAGTGCAGACCCACACTTGCATGGGGTGGAAGTGTCACAGCTTAGAAGGGGCAAAGTGAGGGGAGCCTCTTAGCCCTATTTTGTGGGGCTTGGGAGAAGAGAAGACAGGAACTCCCTAAATTCCTCCAAATGTTTCTGGGGCATTCTGATAATTTTTAGCAACTGCTTATAAAAGCAAATATATACAGAAGACATGCGTAAGATTAAAATTTAGACATGTATACATTCCACTCACCTTCTTTGCATAAAATAAATTCTCTTGACTGTGCATAGGCTGATTCCTCTTGTCCAAGCCTAGCTTTAACTCTAGCCCAGAGAGGACTTGATGGATCATCAATTATGGAAAAGATATTACAAGAATGATGGGAGGTATTGCAGGCATCAATCCATTGCCCGTCCCTAAAATGAAGAAGAAGAAACACAAAGGTAATTTTTTTTTTTTTTTTTTTTGCGGTACGCGGGCCTCTCACTGTCGTGGCCTCTCCCGTTGCGGAGCACAGGCTCCGGACGCGCAGGCTCAGTGGCCATGGCTCACGGGCCCAGCCGCTCCGCGGCATGTGGGATCTTCCCGGACCGGGGCACGGACCCGTGTCCCCTGCATCGGCAGGCGGACTCCCAACCGCTGCGCCACCAGGGAAGCCCACAAAGGTAATTTTTATTGTTCATACATAAACTTGAACCATCCCTGTCTGTGCTTTACTTTTCATTCATAGCATGGAGCTGGTAGAAAGAGTTGAGTAAGAATAGGGTGGAGAAGCTAGACAAAGTAGGAAAACTTTACTCTTTGGTTAGAAGGTCTATAGTAAATTCATTTACAATAAAGAGGCTTAATTCAAAATAAGACCTGTACAAACCACATTCCACATGTAATTTTTAAAAATCTGTTCTTTAAGCAAATCGATTTCATTGAGTCATTACTTAATTACAGAATCCAACATGTTACAATCACTCCTAACACCTGTCAAACAATTTTTTGAAATTTTTCTTTCTATTCAACAGTACATACACTATAGGAAGTAAGAGGACTTCACTGTTTTTAATACAGAACTGTCACCTTTATTTGTCATGCCTTAAAATGTCAGAAGTTAGTGATACTCCTCTACTTCAATTCTGACAGGAAGAAGAATTAAATGGCAGGAAGTATTCTGAAAAGAACTAATTTGCATCCTTAATTTGCATTACTTCTGGAAGTCTATAAGCCGTTCAGGAAGTTGTGCCACATGGGAAGGAACAATGACGGAAGGAAACAGTCATGAAACGTGCAAGGACCTAGGCAAAAACAGAATGAAAAAGATAAAAGAGTGACACTCACCTATAGGTCATCACCTGTACGGTAAACACAGGGCTCCGGGGCATAATTGGGTAATCCCAAAATAGAACAGTATTCAAGTTATAGGCCTCAATTGTAAGATTGGTTGGTGGTGGCACTGTAAGATGGATGGATATCAGAAACTAACATTAACATTAGAAAACCTCAATATAAGAAGCCAAATTAGCCAAATATGTACTTGAAGAAAAGAATTCACCGGAATAGATAATAAATTTATTTAAATTAAGGTATTTCTAAAAATTAATTTTATTAAAAAATGTAGAGAAGTGTTTGAATTCATTTTAAATTACTGAAACAACATTGTAATGCAAGGGGAACACAAGTATAGTATGAGCAATAAATTCCTAGAATGTCTGAGGAGTTTTTATAAATAACTGCACCGCCTGTTGCAATAATAATCCTCAACTCATTTAATCACTAGAATTTTCTATCTTTGATACCACAGACTGTATTCAATGTCTAGAGAGGAACTGGCTACAAGAGGGATGGTCAATTTCACTCTAAAATACTACCTGGGCTCTCAACCCTCCACCCAGGACTATTACACACTTTTACTACCTTTTCTCTAGCACAGGAATAGATGCCTAACGATTGCCTGACGGAGCCATCAAGCATTCCAGTTTCATCAACATTTTGCTCTCTGAGGTGTGCAGGGCTTTTTTCAAAACATACCCTATATTTCTTCCTGCTTTTGCTCTTTTAAACCAATTTAGAAAATGTTTGTTGAGAAGACATGAAAGTGTCACACAAGAGAATAGGCAGAAGTCATTTTACCATCTTATAATCAAACACTACCATGACCATAATCTAGTTACTAAAAGCAGCTATTTTTTTCCCCTGCTCAGTGTAAAAGGTTATTGTCCAGCACCCCTTAAAAAATTGAACACACACATCTCCTCCCTTCCTCTCTCTCTCCCTCTTTCTTTCCCTCCTTTCCTTCCCTTCTTCACGAATGAACATGAAGGTATAGACAGAGTTCGCAATATGACCCGGAATTTAAGCTTATTCAATCTGATCTATCTGGAAAACACCACTAAACATGATGTGCTTATACGAATAAAATAAATAAATGAATAGCAATGTGGTCAGGTGCAGTGGCTTCCAAACATAACTTACCATCCTAAAAAATTCAAAAAGAGCCAAAAGTTTATACTTTTTAAAAATATCCCAGATGATAATGATGATCACTTATGTTTACACCTAGTAGACTGCTCTAATAAGAAAAATATTCCCTGGGTTGGCTATTAAGAAATCTGGGTTCTTTCCTTGCTATACTACTAAAGAGTTACTTCAGAATTCCTCACCTGTCAAGTGAGGTGTTAATTTCACACACATAGGCTATTTGCTTACTGTTGAAGAAAACACCTACTATATTTTTTCCCAAAAATTCCAATATTTGAACCCGAACTGGTACGTTGTCTTAATTTACAACTATTTAGCACCTGTATTACCGTTTCAAAGCAGAACATGGATCAAGAGTTATATGGACTAAAGGACAATTAGATTCTACTGCCATTTTTTTCCTTTTTTCTGATTTTTTCCTTTATATCAGTGGTTTTCCACAAGGGGTGATTTTGTCCCCCATGGACATCTGGCACTGTTGGAGACATTTTTGGTTCTCCTAACTGGGTGTTAGTGGTGGGGTGCTACTGGCATCTAAAGGATAGAGACTAGGGATGCTGTTGATATCTGATAATGCACAGGATAGCTTTCCACATTTTGGCAGTCCAAAATGCCACCAGTGCAGACACTGAGAAACCCTGCTTTATTATAATTTTAGGAAACTTTTTTATTTAGGAGGAAAAACTAATTTAAAAACAGAATGCAATAAGAAATCATCTCACACCAGTCAGAATGGCCATCATCAAAAAATCTACAAACAATAAATGCTGGAGAGGGTGTGGAGAAAGTGGAAGCTTCTTGCACTGTTGGAGGGAATGTAAATGGGTGCAGCCACTGTGGAGAACAGTAAGAAGATTCCTCAAAAAACTAAAAATAGAGCTACCATATGACCCAACAATTCCACTCCTTGGTATATATCTGAAGAAAATGAAAACACTAACTTGAAAAGATACATGCACCCCAATGTTCATAGCATCATTATTTACAATAGCCAAGATATGGAAGTAACTCATGTGTCCATCAGTGGATAAATGGATAAAGAAGATCTGGTGTATACATACACAATGGAATACTACTCAGTCATAAAAAGAACGAATGAAATCTTGCCATTTGCAACAACATGGATGGACCTAGACGGTATTATACTTAATGAAATGAGTCAGAGAAAGACAAATACTGTATGTTATCACTTATATGTGCAATCTAAAAACAAATGGCAGACTGTAACAAAACAGAAACAGGCTCATAGATATAGAGAACAAACCAGTGATTACCAGTGGGGGGGGGAGGGGCAAGATAGGAGTAGGGGATTAAGAGGCATAAACTATGTCTAAAATAAATAAGCTACAAGAATATACTGTACAACACAAGGAAGATAGCCAATATTCTATAATAACTTTAAATGGAGTATAATCTATAAAAATACTGAATCACTATATTATACACTTGACGCTAATATAATATTGTAACTTATACTTCAATAAAAAAATTAATGAATAGATAAATAAAACAGAATTTTTTTGATAAACCAGTACATTTTATGTTTCCCGCTCAGCGAATAGCTTTGGTTACTGTTGAAATGTCTAACTTCCGTATGACTCACCAAAGCAGCAAAACAATTTGTGCCTAAAGGTTGAGATTATGAACTTGGAAGGATGTCTCAGATTCAAGTACTCAGTAAGTACAACATGCCCTTTGATCTGCAGCCAGTGATCAGATATCTACCATTTTTCTACTCACTCTTTCTTTCTGGAATACTGTTGATGGCTGCTGGTACTTATCATCTTTGGTTCTCTAAGCAATTTCCTTGCAGGTGAGTCAGGAAGCACTGGTCTTGCCAGATTTAGCCCTGGTTTTGGTGGAGTTCCCATGGCCATACACAGCAGGGTAGGCTAAGGCCTCCTTAACAGGGTTCCTTTTTCTATGGTGTGTTCACACCTCAACTTCAGAAACAACCATCTCAAACAGCTTACATTCTATGGTTGAGGAGGAAATTAAGGCACCCCCCTCCAGGCTCAATTCAACATTGATATCAAATAATAATCACACATACAAACATAATTTTGCAACTAGATAAGAAAGAGAGGTACCTGATGTTAAGCAAACTCATAATGAATCAGAACTTCCCTCAGAAGCCATTTCTTAATTTTAGCATCTTTTGCTTCTCTCATGGCTGAGAATTTACAAACCATCAGGTCCTGGTTTCTTTTTGTTTAACAGTCCTTTCCTTGATTACTCTCTCTAATCTTATATTTTACAAGAAACAAGAAGAAACCACATGGCACCTGCAATCTGCTTGGAAACCTCCTTCACTAGGCCACTGGGCTCGCCAGGCACATTTCCTACTTTCCCTGCTACTGAAGGTGATGGTGTTGCTAAGCTTCCTGCCACTGTGTAACAAGGATCCTCTTTCTCATTTCCAGTGAAGTTCTTCACTTCCTTTTAAGCCCCCTTTAAAAAAATTATTCCCAATAGGAATGACATTTTAACTGTATGTACTCAATCTGAGATTAATTTCTGCATTTGAGGAAAAGGCATATAGAAATCAACCTGTATTCTAGAATATCAAATAAAGTGCATTTAAATTTAAGAGGTTACTGAATCATACATTATAAAATACAAACAGCAATAGACTTGTGCTACATTAGACTAGTTTTTCGCGTGAGTCAGGTGATATTTCCCATAATTTAAGTAAAAGCTTGACATGGTTAGACTAGGATAAGGACTTAAACCATAGCTTCCAAAGCAATCAAGACAGGCGGTAGAGAGGTTTCAATGGAACCAGCAAACAGAAATTACTACTAGATTATAGGAGAAACTTATGAATATTGACACCAAAGGATGTAACCTGTGGTTTTAACGCTACCAGAAGAGAAACCATGCGGTTATTAGACATCTGCCTTTGTCATCTTTGCTAAAATCTCATGATAAATTGACATGAGTAACTCGTTTTCTTAAGTTTAAGAATTGTATAACCTCAAGTTTACATGGCTACATATTCAGATAAATAAATTGAGGCTTACAGCAAACTTCTATTCATAAAAAGTTACCCTATGTCAATAAAAATATATGTAGAAATAGCAAGAGAGTGTGGAGTTAAAGGAAAGATCCTCCTAGAGTATTTCATGAAGTAGAATAATCTTGCAGATTTCCCTATCTCTTAAAAATGCCAACAGTTTTCTGTAACACGTGTTGTTTTCGGAAATGGGTTCAGAGTTATTTGGAGCATTATATCTGCATCCTATCCAGAGTAAACTTTAGCTCTTTTAAGATCTGCTTCCCAGAACTCCTCTAGGAACTAGCAGCTGAGGATTAAACACCACCAAACAAAGGAGAGAAGAATCACTTTTCATAACATTCTAAGTACAATGCAGACAAAAAGGAGAGTTCTGGTTACAACTAACTGTTTCCTGGTGATAGATATGAAAAAAGACCAAGGTAGAGAACAGAAAAGACATATGAAGATCAGCAAGTGGTGAAGCAGTGCCGCTAGATGCGGCAATGGAGGTGTCACGGAAGCCCCCAAACCAGCAGCCAGAACAGCTCTGTAATAATTACTGGGGAAGGCAGCAGAAGGGGAAGCAAACAGCTACAGGCATCTCCAGGTTTCCTCTGCATGGACGGTGACAGAAGCATGGGCTGCCTCCTGTGCTCCATCCCATAACCACCAAAAGTATCTGTGCCTCTACTGGAAGAGGCACAGCCTCAGGAGTTCACCGATTTTTACATAATAGCATTCGAAGACTAAATAAAAGATGTGTACATCTAAGGCCAAACAGCTCTGTACTCTGTAGACACCATGCGACTATGTGCTCACCAACCTCTCTATGGGAAGGACAAACTGAGAAGCATAAAGAAGTAAGGATACACGGGCCAGTAATTAAATCATTTTGGAGGATTCTAGGCCATCTGACACTACAACTCAAAAACAAACACTCTAAATTAAAGCATCCAGACCCTTTACTGAATGAGCAACTCTCAGGGAAAAGAGCTAACAACCTCCTCGTGTTAAAGATGAGGGGCCGTGGACGTCTTCACAAAGGTCTCTTCTTACACTGCAAAATGAGAAATGGCATGAGAAATCCAGGCAGAAAAAGTGAAAAACATCAAATCCGGACTTTGGCATCTTTTTCAGATATATTTATGATTATGATCTATCTACTGAATGGTTTTATAGTGCCGATAAAATAACTTTTTCTTAATGCTTTCCAACTTTTTCTCTTAGCAAGTAGCAGCGTCCTCTAGATTTAAGATGAATAAAGACATTTAAGAATTCTTGCACGTGGTGTTTCAAGCATTCATAAAAGTTTTAAAACTGAAACATATCAATATTTGGGGGCTTTGAAATGAATCACATCCATCACTTTGTGAAACTAATGGAAAAACGGTCCTTTTTCTACTTCCTTCTGTTATTCCCCTGTACCTTCAGAAAAAGAGTACCAGAACTAAGGGTTCAAGTGAGGACATCTATAATATTTCAGGACCATTTCACTTTCCATATGATAGCTCCTTAGCCGGGTCAAGACCCCTAGTATCCCTGCAGTCTCCTCTTCCTCCTGTCTGTCTTCACGTTTTACCATTCACTCTCTCTTTCTTAAAATGTGGGCCCAGAAGTAATGCACCTGATGTGAATGAAATGCTTTTCCTCCTTTTTTTTTTTTTTAAAGAGATGTGGGCATATCAAAGAGTGGCTTACACTGAACCCGCAATTAACTAAAATCCCCCCAGATCTTTCACTCAAATCACCAAGTTAGAGCTTATCCAAAAAACTTCTCCCCAGCCACTTTTCTGATCTGAAATGCAGGGTTCTATTATTGTTCCTGTTTATTCAATTTCATCTAGTTGGGTTGCTTGGCATGCCAATAAATTCTAATTGAACCAGATCCACCTAGTCCCTGAGAGAAGTCATTTCTCAAGACTAATTCCCTTTTGGACTAATTCATTCTAAGTTGAGAAATAGTTTAGGAACTGAAAAAACTAAAGAGGCCTTTTCAGTGTATGAAGAACAGGAAATAGGTGGAAGGAGTCAGCTGCTGAGCTTACTTTAAATTTCTCATATTGATCTGGATGAGTCTGTTTTTTTAAAAGCTGACACAATTTCTCATTCATAACTAAAACAATTTAATATTTAAAAATATATTTGTGAAAATAATGATGCACATAATTGAATGATAGTCACCAACATATATTGAACATTTACTACATGACAAGCTACGAGCTCAACTTTGCTGCGCATTATCTCAGTTAAGCACCAAAACAACCATCCTAGGAGGGAGGTAATATTTACCAAAAAGAGAAAAAAGGCTTAGAGAAGCTACTTAAAGACTTGACAATGTGTAAAGTTTTGTTGGTTTTAATTAACAAAAGCTGCTTAAGCATCATTTCTATGATAGTTTAATAAAAGATGGGGAAAATAAGCTCCATATATAAATAGGAACTGGAGATAACTGTTTCCTGATGACATCACAAGCATTTGCTTCAAGTAATTTTGCGTGATTTATCATACCATCACAATCACACGATGGCACTGCAAAATCTGAACAATGTATTAAATTAAATTATTTATTTAGAATGGACATGATTGAAATGGATATCTACTGAATAGTATTGGGATAATCTAAAATACACTCCCTTAATAAGAAAATTACAAGTAAACTCATTCCTTCTTGTCAGGAACTCATTTAATTCTGGTATGTCTTTCATTCTGAATCTTTGTCCAATTAAAATGGAACCGTAAATTATCCATTTAGCTTATACAGCAATTGCACTATTGCTGCCAAATTGTATAAGACAGCTCTTTAAAGGGGTTATTTTTCTCTTCAATTCTTTAGGGTTTTTTTTATATAGAAGCAAAAGGTGGATCTTTCAAAAATCCATACAAATCATGAATCAGAATAAAATGAAAAAACTGTTATTAATACCCTCTTCAATAAATATACTTGAAATGCACTGATTTAAGTATTTTGAATCTCTGAAAAACATACAGATTCCAAAGAAAATAACGAAAAATTTCGACACACCCAGAGCATTACCTAAAGTTAGAGAATGAAGAGTTGATAAGCAAGTGGAGTAAGGCCGAGTTAAGAGCCCCACCGCTGTGCTAAAGCAGGACGCTCTTCAGATAATACCCAGAGTGGAAGAACAAACCGGAAGAAGGTAGCTGACACCTGTGTTTATAAAATGCTGGAGTACAGAAGCCACAGAAGATCTTCCTGTGGGGGGGCGGGGGAAGGCAAGCAATCCTACTCCCAGGGCCGGCTTCAAGGACATACGGATTGTGTAGTCACGAGGGGCCCCATGCTCAGGAAGGCTCTGTACTCAGAAGGAAGGGCCGTGCACTTGATTTAATGCTCTGCCCTAGCCAGGAACTTCAGTCACCCTCTTCCTCTCTCCGCACGCCCAGTGAATCACCAAGTTAGGCTGGGTCTGTCTTCTAATTTCTTCTTCTTTTAAACTGCCTCTTCCCATGCTCTTCTCCCAGACTTAAGCGGCAGTCTCCTAAGTGACCTTCCTCCTTGGAGTCTACCGCCGAACTATTCTGTAAGATGAATGGTCTTTCTAAATGGCCTAGCTGATCCTGCATGAAATCATTTATCTCCTTAAAATAACCCCATGGCTGTCCACTGACTTGAGCAAGGGAGGGTGAGCCTATTATTTTGCTGGCTCAGCACCTGTACTTCCTTCAGGAACATTATTGCTCTTCTTCTGGGAAGTCTCCTACTGCCGCCACCTGGAACAACATCCTTCCCATGCAAGCTGGCGTCTGACCCAAGCTAGGCAAATCAGAGCCTTCTTCCAGGATCTGGCTATGGTGGAGAAAGCTGCAAGATGTCAAAACCCAAAAGCTGTCAACATCCATGATGCCTGCCGAGTCGAGAAGACTGCCAACACTGAGTCAGTAGTAAGAAATGGAGGGTCTGGGCACTTTTGAGGTCCAGGTTCAACTTCCTGAGGCCCAGTTGGCATCTGTACCTTTCTGTTTAACTCTCACCTGGATTCTCTGAGCCAATAAATTCCTTTTTTTGTCTGTGTGAGCCAAAGCTGTGTTTCTGTCCTTTGCTGTTACACATGACAAGGCACTTCATTAACTGGTTCCTACCTCTCCACATATCCTTTCTCCCCTTATATCCTCACACACGTACTGTACACTAAAGTGCTTAAATTATTCCACTAGTTCAACCTGCTGTTTCACAGCCTTTCCTCTGCACACACAAGTCTCTCTGCACCTCCAGTTCCAACTCTGGGGTCATCTTCTTTGTGAAGTCTTTCCTGATTCCCCTGCTCAGAGGCAGACGCCCATATCTTGCTTTCCAGTAACCTATGTGTAAATTCAAGCTCTTAACACAAAGGATTGCAACTGCCCTTGTGGATGACTAACGCCCTAGGTAATGGCCGAGTGCAGAGTTAAGAACTTGGACTCTGGAACCCAACTGCCAAGCTCCCCACTGAATAGCAGAAACTTGGTTAGACCTCTCCGTGCCTCAGTTTCTCATCCATATTTGGAGATACAACAGCACCTACTTTATAGGACTTCTGGCAAATGGTGTGATAAGATCTTAAAACAGTGCCTGATAACTGTTAGCTATAAAATCACGATCCTTGAAGGCAGAAACTAAGTAACTCCCATTTTTGTATTCCCAACACCTGGCATAATTTCTTTTTCAAGGAATGACTTATTTGTTTGCTTGAGCTCTAAACGGCAAGCCAAAGGAGAGCTAGATATGAATGGAGCACATCTAACAAGTGTCACTGAGGAAGTCATAACACAGAGGTGCAGACCCAGAGTTTGCCAAGGGTAAAGGAGGCTGGGTCTCCCTGACCCCTTCCAGGCAGCTGCTAACTGCATGCACAGAGGAGACACTCAAGACTGTCCGGTTTTCTGAAAATCTAGGTTTATCCCTTTTGCAGAAAAACTACTGATTTCACTGGAGCTCTTAATTATCATTATACCTAGCTTTAGAAAAAACATGTTTCCTGGGAAACATCAAAAAGCAGGCGGAGATAAACGAGGAACTAGGCTCATGCGAAGAGACCTACTGTCTGACAAATGGGCTCATGAGTGCACCCACTGGATCACCTCCTGACTTAACACGTAAGAGGCAGTTATTGCCTTTTCATACTTCTCTGCTGGCGAAAGAACTTCTAAGGATTCGGGGCCTACCTTACGAATATTTAAGTCATGAGCTGCGGCCACAGTGTACAACTGCTGACCAGGGAACTCACTTATTTAAAAATTAATTAAGAGAATGTGTTTTATTGTTTTGGTAACCACGGAAGGGGCCGGAGAAGGGAAGGGAAGGCTGCAAACCGCAGAAACCCTGCGTCGCCTTCCCGGCGGCCGCCCCCTTAGGACCCGAAGCCAAGGCGTCAAGGACAAATGCGAGAGTCGAGGACAAATGCGGACGCGGCTCCTCAGCGTGGGGGAGGGTTCCTGGCCGGTGGGGTTCCCTCCCTCCCCTCCCGTCCCCACCCGGTCGTGGCGCTGCCGCAAGCGACAATACCTGAGGACAGCTTCTGATCCGCGGCGCCCATCTCGGCCCAGCTTCCGGCCTGCACGATAAGGACGAGGAAAAGGAAAAGAGCCATGCTGCTCCGGACCGACTCGGGAGCTGCCCAGAACTGCGGGAGGCCCCCGGCGCGGCCCTCGGGCCTAGGCCTGGCGTCATTTCCTCCACCGCAGACCATCTCGCCAGCGGGAGGCGGAGCGTGGATGGGAATGTGGGTCGCGGACAGCAAAGCCGCCACCAGGACAGGGACGCCAGCCTGGACGGGAGGCGGGGCCAGAGTGGGTGAGGCAGGGCCGGGGCGCGAGGGCGGGGCCCGGGGCGCGGAGGCGGGGCCCGGGCGTGGAGACAGGCCTGAGCGTGGTAGTTGACGCGTGGGGTGGCTGAGTTGCGCGGAGTGGCGGAGGTGCCCGGGGAAGCGGGGCCTGGGAGGGGAGGAGGACTACAACGGGAAGGCCGCCTCTCTGGAAGCTCGGCGTTAGGGGCATGACAGTCTGTGGTCGCGACTTTGGCTCGCAGGTTTGTGAGTAACTTGGGTCCAAAAGTCATGTTCTTTCAGCTTTGCATGACCTTCCGTGATGCATCTTCCTCTTTTTGCAGTGTTCTGGACTTGCAGAACTTTGCCCTAGGCCACAATCCAGCCACAATGCTTACTTTATCTTATATAAGACTTCGGCATCAATGCGTCTGGGAACTTAGATTTTAGGGCAGAAAGAGCCCTTACATTCCTTCTCTAATCCCTGCATTCGTAGCTGAGGAGCCCGAAGCTTCGCGGGTGAAATGGTTTGTGCAAACTTGCATAGCCCAAATAGAATTGGCTCGGCCATAAACTACTTTATTCTTGGAAGAAAAATAACTTGCATTACCTTTTCAGCAATTAAATATCAAATAGCAATTTATTAAGCAGCCTCTCATCATGAGATCTTTCCTTTCTGACCACATCTCCTATTACTCTGCATCATCTCACCTATTCTACTCGAGGTGCATTGGCCTCTGCCCTTACTAGAACACTCCAGGCTTGTGCTCAGGTGTGCACATGGCTAATTATTGAACCTACTTCAAGTCTCTGCTTATTATGGCCTTCTGCAAAAATTTGAAATTGCAACCCATCTTCCCGTCCTCTTTACACTGCCCTACTGTTTATTTCGTGGCACTTACCTTCCCTCACACTCTATGATATGCATATTGATTTTATTTTTCTCCCCCTTCTAGAATGTAAGCTTTGTAGGGCTGAAATCTTTGGCACTCATTTAGTATTTGTTGGATGAAAGAAGGCATGATTACACTAGCATTAAGTAAAAATTTTAGAGGAAAACCTTATGAAGATGCTGTACAAACTAGAGGTTTTATATTTATTTGTATGAATAAATATTCATTTATTTGTATGAATAAATATTAATTTTACTTATATGAATAAATCCCTTAGCTCAGTATTTCTGAAAATCAATGTGAACCACCTGGGTTCTTGTTAAAATGCAGTTTGGATTTAGTTGTTCTGATTCAGGTTGGGCCTTGAGAGTGCATTTGTAACAAAATACACAAAGAGTGCCAATGCCACTGGCTCTAAGGGCACACTTTGCATAGTAAGGCTTTAACTCAACTAGACTAAGTTTTGGGAAATATTTTGTTTCATGTATTTGTGATGTCCACTGTCTTAGTCTCTTTGGGTTGCTATAACAAAATACCACAAACTCAGTAGCTTATAGAAAACGGAATTGTATTTCTCACAGTCTGGAGACGAGAAGTCCAAGATCAGAGTGCCAGCATGGTCGGGTGAGGGCTACTCTTCTGGCTAGCAAGCTTCTAGTTATTTCCTGGAATGACAGAAGAAGCAAGGATGTCTCTTTTATGAAGCACTAATCCCATTCATGAGGGTTCCACCCTCATGATTCAAGCACCTCCCAAAGGCCACACCACCTAATATCATCACCTTTGGGAGTTAGAATTTCAACATATGAATTTTGGAGGCACACAAACATTCAGATCATAGCACTCACTATATAAAAGTCACCTTCTAATCATTGCCAGGATACAAGGATAAGTAAGAAATGATCGTTGCTGTTTAGGAGTTTATGGAGCATAACATCAAATCAATTGAATATAATATTCAGTTTAGTTCAGTAAATATCTTCGTAGCAGACATCACAGGTTGGGTTACCCACGAAGTAGACTCTTGGGGGAGATTGATGTGCAAGACATGCCCTTCTGTGCTCTTGGGATCGATTCCTGTGAAAGGGAGGTGGAGGGAACACGATTGAGCAGAAGATGATCTATAATGCCATCCTAACAAAGGCCTCAGCTGACCCCTTGGAGCCAGGATGGCCTTCTAGAGGTATCTTTGAATTGGCACGAGTGCCTTTACCTTCAACTCCCAGCATTGATTAGTCATTGGATACAAACCACCCAGAGAGGGGACATGATTTGGTGTTGCCTGTTTCTTTAAGTAAGGCATTCTCCAAAGAGTACTGGCAGCCTAGGGTGTCTGCCAGTAGCACTCCCAGCAGCAGGGCAAGGATGGAGCTAAATCTCCTAGTCCTGGGCAGAGCTTCACAATCAGCATCCATCGGCGGCACTGTGCTAGTCACTTGAAGACTAAAGATATTTATTAATTCACTAAATATTATTGAGTGCCACTGTGTGTATCCAACACTGCTCCGCGCTGAGGTGTAGACCTGAGCAAGACAGACATGGCCCCTGCCCTAATGGAGCTTACAGTCTACTGAGGGATTAAGCAGGTGTTAATCAAGCTATTATAAGTACTGAACTTATAACTATTATCAAGCAGAGTCATGGATTTACAGGAGCATAAACAGGAACTTAGTCTAAGTTTTAAGGCAATTCTTTCTTTAGGCAGTTATAATTATGTTAGGACCTGAAGGATGAAAGAGGATTAGCCTGAATAAAGCTGGGGGAAGGGAGAATCACAGAGAGGTAAGAGGAAGATCTGTAAAATAATTTAAAAATCCAATAAATAAATCTTATATAGTCACACAGAAGGCAAATGAACAGTGCCAGTTACCTTGGTAAACATCTAATGCCTAATGGCCAGAGAGTATCCAAGTATACGTTGGTCCCCACTATATCCTCTGGTGAGTTTTTAGAACCAAAAAAAACCAGTGTGGGCCATGAGGTGGGTAAATCCAGGGCCAACTGTAAAGAGAAGTGCTGCTCAGGAGCAAAGCTGCATTTTTTAGGCCACGTTCAACATGGCCTAGAGGAAGTTAAATAAAGGCCAAATAAAATAACTTAAGAAATTAAAACTATGTTGTAATAAGAACAGAGACTGGGTGTACAGCACAAACTACACTTTGGCTCCTGGCACCGTGCACTTCCTTCCCTTTTTCTCTAGAGCAGAAATGTCTGCCACTTTCCCTGTAAAGGAAACAGATTGAAAAGTTTGTGGCTAAAGCATTTATTTTTTCTTTTCAAAATAAATTTTTTTTATTTTTTATTTTTATTTTTGGCTGTGTTGGGTCTTTGTTGCTGTGTGCGGGCTTTCTCTAGTTGCGGCGAGCAGGGCTACTCTTCGTCGTGGTGCGTGGGCTTCTCATTGCGCTGGCTTCTCTTGTTGTGGAGCACAGGCTCTAGGCACGTGGGCTTCAGTAGTTGTGGCACTCGGGCTCCGTAGTTGTTGCACGCAAGCTCTAGAGCACAGGCTCAGTAGTTGTGGCGCATGGGCTTAGTTGCTTCGCAGCATGTGGGATCTTCCGGGGCCAGGGCTCGAACCTGTGTCCCCTGCACTGGCAGGCGGGTTCTTAACCACTGCTCCACCAGGGAAGCCCCTGTGGCTAAAGCATTTAGTTCTGAATTCTGATTGTTCTATAAAGTAAAGCCGATACTCCCCTACCTTCTCACACTCTACCCTTGCCTCCACACTGCCCCTTACTTAACTATGTTTTAGCCATTATGTATCCACAAACACATAAGCACTGAAATTGTGGTGGTTATTACAAAGAGCAGAACAGGATTATTGGAGCATACATTCTGTCTCTCTTCCACTAGAAAGTAAGCTCCTTATTTTCTTCACTGCCATATCCCCTGCACCAGGGTAAGTGCCTATAATTCCATTAATATTTATTGAATAAATGTATGAATGGACAAAGCAAGCTTGTGGGAATGTAACAGGTATAGTTAAACTTATGGTCGATCAAGCTATAATTGAATCACTGATGAGAATTCAGCCATGTTTGGATATCATACTGGTACCAAACCGAGTACTATCTGTTCTTGCCCTCCACACAGCCCCCTTTTGAGGAGAGCTCTCATGCTGATGTCTGATCATATCAGATCAAACCCCTGACTCAAAGGCAGTTATCCATAGACTGCAGAGTCTTCTAGTAGATGGCTTGTTTTGGAGCACTGCCTAAGATCAATGCCACATGCTAGATTATGACTGTGGCAGGCATTGTTCATTGACTGACTGCTAATAACCTTTCTCCTTGCTTCCTTCCCACTATAGAGTCTATAAAAGCTCAGTAGTCACTTTCCCAAGCTTCATGGCAGCTGCATAGTCATATGACATAGTTCTGGTCAACAGGAAGTAAGCAGAAGTCTGTGAGCACGTGTGTGTGTGTGTGTGTGTGTGTGTGTGTGTGTGTGAGAGAGAGAGAGAGAGAGAGAGAGAGAGAGACAGAGAGAGAGAGAGACAGAGAGAGAGAGAGACAGAGAGAGAGAGACAGAGACAGATGCAACAAGAGAGCTTGCTGGCTTTGACCCTTCTCTAATCTTCCTGCCTTAAATGTAGGCACATGATGCCTGGATCTGCAGCTGCTATCTTGCAACCATGAGGAAACACGATTAAGGATGAAAAACCAACAGCTAAAAATGGAAGAATAGAAAAATAGAAAACCTGAGATACTGATGTTAGCATTGAGCAGCTGAACCAATATCTGCAATCACCTACCTCTGGACTCTTGTCATAGGAGGAAAAATAAAGCCCTATTGATTCAAGCCATTGCCAGTTTGGTTTTCTGTTAATTAAGTTGACATTTTTTCACACTCAATGTCAGACCAACCTAAACAAATTCTCTTTCAGAGAGCTGGGATGTAAACCTCAATGGAAGGAAGGTTGGCTGAGGGGGG